TGTGATCGACCATTAATCCCAAAAACTTTGCTACTTTAACTTCACTAATTGTCTTTGTTAAGTATTTGATATGTAAATCTGAAGATGGTACAGCTTTATTTCTGAATATCATTAGGTTAGTTTTTTCCAAATTTATTAAAAGATTATTAGATGTAAGCCAATTGACAATAGAATTTAGTGCAGAATTTACTTCGCCCTCAAGTAATGTATATTTTTTATTAGAAAATACGGCGGTGCTGTCGTCTGCGAAAAGAATCATTGGAAAATTCATAGCGTTTGCTAAGACACTTCCCTGGGGTACACCATACGTCAATTCTCTATAGCCCGAAATAAATTCAACTTCTTTTTTTGTAATCCAATCGAATTTTGTTATCACAGTGGCTTGTTTCCTGTTACTTAGATACGACGTTATAAGACTTAGAGCATTACCCCTAATCCCATAGGCATAGAGTTTATGTTTTAATATGTCATGATCAACATAGTCAAAGGCTTTGGTTAAGTCCATAAATAAGGCACAAACTGGTGTTTTATTATCAACACTGAAAGTTACCATTTTTAGGAATTCGTAAATTGCTCTGTTAATTATTTTTTAAAAAGGTTGTGGTCACTAACGTCACCTATGAGATAATAATTTAGTCATCAAGCGACTACTCGAGTATATAAGTGACATAGTAATCGAGTGTGAGCACGCAGTACATTGCAACTTTATAGAAGAAACAAGTTCCCGGTCACGATAGCGATGCGTTCCGTCAGTGTCGTGTTGATTCTCGTGGTGGTCGCAATGGCGAGCTCGACGCCCACTGACAGTCCTCCCCAAAAGGAGCATTACGACGTAGAAAAGGCTGATGAAATCTTCGAATAATACATAAAGGACTACCAAAAGCAGTACAAGGACGAAAATGATAAACAAGTGCATTTCAAAGCGTTTGTCAAGAGCTTGAAGACGATCAATAGGTTGAACGAGGAGAGCACAAGCGCCACTTTCGGTATTAACCAATTCGCCGACTATACCGCGAAAGAAAGGAAAGGAATGTTTGGTTTAAGATGTGAGTAACTATGAGAGTATATTCTTATATTCGTGTGATGATGATGTGTGATGAACGACCGAAACTCTGACGTCTTCGTCAGAGTTTCGGTCGCTGCTGTCTGTTCATACTATATAACGCACGAGTTCGAATCATGTCGCTTTAATTAGACCGACTAGGTATTTTTATAACTTCCAATTCGAAAGATAGAGTGAACTCGATCGTGGTCGCCGGGTCGAATCTTCGAATTGGCAGTTACAGAATAGCCTATTAGAAAGGCGTTTTGACCGACAAAATAAGTCTGTCTATCATTCTGTAAGTCAGTCCCATAGTGAACCTATTCGCTCGTTCCAAAGTGTAGATTCCCATGGAGAAGAACGAGCCAGAAACTCCATAGGTTACTCTTTTTCAATCGGGTTCACAATGGAATTCTGAGTTAAATTACTGTTTAATGTGTTTGTTTCAAAAGTTAATTGTTATTCATTAATGTTAACCCGTCGTGTGTCTAAAGGTGGATCCAAGCACAGAACTTATATGATCTGTGGATCCACGCGAGACACAAAGTATTTTCTATTGTGTCTCATATCGGTGCATTCAAGCGGTTAATGCATATTTATGCCGCCGAATGTAGTTGCAGATATAAAATTACTAAATGTGTTTTTTTCTTTTCAGTGTCAAAGCAGTAAACGAAGTAGGTACATGAAGAAAACAAAAAATCTTTCAAGAAAATTTATACTTTATATTTAAATATTTTTAAATAAATGTAATTTTTTTTTCTATAACACATTTTCGTTTATATTTACCCAAATTTTATATTTCTTGAGGGTCTTAATGACAAACATGCTTGTAGCTTACATTATTAGTTCACAATGAGGGCTCAAGTATTTGAGTTGAAGAAAGCATGTCCAATTATTTATTTTTCAGTCTATTTTTGAATTACCTAGTCAACATTTTGAATTAGGAAACTCTCAAATGCGCAAATAGGACCTAAGGCTCCACTACTATATAGCGCAGTAGTCAATATCGTCAACAGCCAGAAGATGTTCACCACTGAACAAAGGTCCCCCACTTAGTTCTACACCTCGAATGACCACTCGGGTCTTGAAATCTCTATAGGTATATATAATTCACACAGTTCCCTTTTTTCTCTCTTATTTAATACTAGCTTTTACCCGCGGCTTCGCTCGCGTCAAACAAGGATAAAAAGTAGCTTGTGACATATACCAATACATACAGCGCCATCTATACCAATGCTTTTGTTTTCCCTCGGGAATATCAAATTTTTACGGGTTAAAGATTACTCTATTATTTAATCCAGACTTCTAACATAACGTTTGCAAAAATTAAAAGCAATCGGTTTAGTAGTTACGGCGTGAAATCGGAACAAATAAACTCACTTTCCGATTTATAATACTTGTCTACGAGCAACGCCATCTATTACAATTCGGTGACAACACGACGCCATCGACCGGAGCAGGCGCCGCTCTGTTTTATCGATCGGTGCGGCCAATAAGGAAAGAGGAAGATTCTGTTTTAACGACATTAACATTTTACATTGTTTTTTAACAACCGCCGTTTCTTTTCTAATTGGAACGAGGAAGAAATCTCTCTCTCTTATTTACTAAATTTAGTATTTTTGTAACAATAAAATAAACGCATTAATTCACATCAATAATAAAGGCATTCATTGAAGGCAACCTAAGTAAAATCCTGGAAGCGAGTACACGCATTGCCGTACATAAGCCGTGCTGACACCACACATTGGAAGTCCTAACAATACTAATATAATATAATATTATCCTTACTAATAAGGATAACCTATGTTCATCATCGATAGTGTAGGATTCCAACGATAGAAGAATTTTTGAAATCGGTCCGGTATTTTCGGAGGAGATGCCATTCAAAAAAGAAACAAAAAGTCAAATCTTTCCTCTTTATACTATTAGTGTAGAAAATCAATTGCTGTTCGTTAGTCTCGCTAAAACTCGAGACTGGCTAAACCATTATTTGTGGAAGTCCAGGAAAGGTTTAAAAGGTGAGAAAATATTTTTTGTGGCGGCACGAAGTTTGGTAGGTCAGCTAGTAATGAAATATATAAAATGTTACTAGTAATATGTAAACATATCTATTTATAGGTCATAGGTAATACTTAAATGTAAAGTGGAAGTACTTATAAAATTACACACAATAATATTATCAAGCACACGGTTACGATGCGATGGTATAACTTGGTACCAAAACTACTTCATATCTATTTAGCAATACGGAGCCTACAACATTTTATTAAACTGTTATATGTCGCAATACTAAAAATTATTTAATAGACTTTTCATTTTACATTGGAACTTCATATTGAAATAACAAGAGTAAGAATAGTATTGAAATAACAAGAGTAAAAGTCTCGTAAGATAACTTTTATCAACCTTGTTCAAGATTGAGATGCACACAGAAACGGGCAACACCGAACGAACATTCGTTCATCTGATTGGCCGTACTCATGCCCAATTTAATTTATACGCTTCGCTGGTATCTGTTTGATCTGGCTGTGATCATTAACGTCATCTATGAAATAATAATTTAGTCATCGAGCGACTACTCGAGTATATAAGTGACATAGTAATCGAGTGTGAGCACGCAGTACATTGCAACTTTGTTATAGAAGAAACAAGTTCCCGGTCACGATAGCGATGCGTTCCGTCAGTGTCGTGTTGATTCTCGTGGTGGTCGCAATGGCGAGCTCGGCGCCCACTGACAGTCCTCCCCAAAAGGAGCATTACGACGTAGAAAAAGCTGATGAAATCTTCGAACAATACATAAAGGACTACCAAAAGGAGTACAAGGACGAAAATGACAAACAAGTGCATTTCAAAGCGTTTGTCGAGAGCTTGAAGGAGATCAATAAGTTGAACGAGGAGAGCACAAGCGCCACTTTCGGTATTAACAAATTCGCCGACTATACCGAGGAAGAAAGGAAAGGAATGTTTGGTTTAAGATGTGAGTAGCTATGTTATATTACGTTTAGAGTTTTGATCGCTGCCGTGTGTTTATATTAAGCACGAGTTCGAATCGTGTCATGGCGTCATGTTGAAATCGTATTTTGTAATACAAACCGTAATCTCAAGCGCCCAGAGTGTAAATTTGCGTGTGCGCTCGATATAAACACAATAACAAAGACGTACTTGATTATGTTTTAACAGGAAACCATTGTTTTCGAATTATTCTGTCATAGTACAGATAAAGCGTAAATAAAACTAACCTCTCTTTGTGAATGATTGTGACATTTTGTTTAGAGACAAAACGTTTAATTTTTTAATGTAAATGTGCGACCTTGAATACTAGCCATTTGAGATTTTCTTTAATTAATTTCTATTGGCTTACTAAATTATAATTAAATACGAGTTTGATGGTTCAGATTTTGAGAAACTATAAAATAGGGTCGGCCAAGTGCGAATCGAGCTCGTTTACATAGGGTTCGGTACCATAGAACATATTTTTTTATTGTTTTCAAAAGTTAATTGTTATTCTTTAATTCACGGTTCACGGTTGGTGCGGTAGTTGGGCAACTGGCTGCCGTGCAACGTGTCGTGGGTTAGATTCCCGCTCGGAACAACTCTTTGTGTGATCCACAGATTGTTGTCCCTTGTCTGGGTGTCATGTGTATGTGACCTATGTTTGTAAACGCACCCACCACACAGGAGAAACTCCTAGTGTCGACCAACGTTTTTGAAAAAACAAAAAATGTTAATGTATGGACACCGTCGATTGTTATTGTTGTAGCTATATAAAATTAAAATGAGTTTTTTTCTTTCTTTTCAGTGCCAAAGCAGTAAATAAATATAAAAGTACCTGAAGAAGACGAAAATTATTTTAATATTTTTATGATTTAATATTCTATTCATGTAAAATTAATTAATAAATGTAATTTTTTTCTATAACACATTTTCATTTAAACAACTTCAAAAAAAGTAGGATCTTAGTTTCACCTGTATGTATAGGTACTGTTTTTTTTTTAATTTTTTTTTATGGAATTTGAGGCAAACGAGCACACGGATCACCTGATGGTAAGCGATCAGCGCCGCCCATGGACATCCGCAACACCAGAGGAGGAATACCCTCTTTTCTTGAAGGTTTGAAGGTCGTATCGTATGTATGTTTGTTCGCGATTATATCACGATTGGCTGAACCGATTATGATGCGGTTTTCAGAAAACTGTTTATTACACTTAGGAGAAGGTTTTAGTACATTAATTAACAGACCTCAATAAAGGGAGTTTAAAGTCGAGTTTTGAAACGTAGTTCATAAAATAATTATTTTATTTTATAGTATATTTCTCTGATCGTCTCAATGCTTCTCAATCTCAATGACATTAGGCTAGTACTAACATGATATAACATAACATCACGCCTTTTATCCCCAAAGGGGTAGGTAGAGGTGCACATTATGCTACTTTAATGTAACACCAAGTATTCACTATTTATGTTATGAGTCCCATGTAATGGGGGTGAGCTTATTGCCTGGCACAATTCCAGACTCCGTGCTACTACTGAGAATTTTTTAAAAACCCAGTAATACTTTGCCCGGCCTGGGAATCGAACCCGAGACCCCTTGCCCGAGTCGCACTTGCGACCACTCGTCCAACGAGGCAGTCAGTAGACTAGTACTGGTAGGTATTATTGGTTGGAAATTGGCCTATGTACCTATATCTAACTTGTCATTATGGTAATAATCTTATATGAATATAGGCTGGGCAACCGGCTCCCGTGCAACGTGTCGCGGATTCGATTCCCGCACGGAACAACACTTTGTGTGATCCACAAATTGTTGTTTCGGGTCATTGTGTATGTGAACTTGTATGTTTGTGAACGTACCCACGGCACAGGAGAAAATCCTAATGCGGGGCAACGTTTTATAAAAAAAAAACAATTCTATTATTATTTATAGTGAGCCACATTGCACATTGAAAACATAAACGATAAAAACAAGGTTAGAGTGGTGATAGGTTTTTATAAAAAAAACCGTCACAACGATCGTCAGCACTTTATATCGTGTCTTCGATACGCATCTATCTATTGCCAATTTGTAGTTACGAGCTCTCAGAGGCCCGCGGGAATTCTCCTCAAAAACTCGACTCCATTCTCATATAGCACTTATACCTACCTATCTACCTATTATATCTTTTTAACATCGTACTGTTTCTTTACGTTTTATAATCTTTTCTACTATTTTTTAACCGACCCCAAAAAAGAACTAGGTAAGTGCTCAGTTTCACCTGTTTATATGTATGCCCTTTAGACCTCATTTTCAGGCGGACCTGAAGTCATAGTCAAAAAGATTTTTTTTTCTCTGTAATCTGTCGTTCTCTGGGACATTAATCAGTAGGTGTGGCGATTTCGTGGATATCATTCTCGATATGCGACCTTTATCGCATCCTACTTTATATTATATTTTATTTCAGTATGTCCTGCATCTTCTGTTTCAGTCTACGCTACTAGCCAAGGTGTTTCTTGATTCAGATTTTGATTTGATTGTTTTCTTGTATAGTGCTAAATTTCTTGTTTGACTGTTGGCATATGTAGGTCGTTATGTAGGTGACAAAAAGTGCTTAGATGATTTTCGCCTTATTTTTACGTATTGTGTGCGATGAAAATAAAAAAACTAACCATTTATAAGAAATTTTCATTTTACATGAACATTTCTAAGCTTCAAATCCCTTGCACGCCCTTTGCTAAACTCTGGCCCATATTTTCTATACAAATTTTCAAGTGACCACACACACAGCTATAATATATTTATATTTCTGTGACGTCACCAAAATTTATCCACGAAATATGTTATGTTATATTTAAATCGCCACGATCATAGACTGAAAATACAATAGTATAATCTGTGCCAGCTAGCTATACTATAATGTATCTGTAGTTTGATATATGGATATATGGGATATACAGGTCAATAAGGAAGAAATCTCTCTAACCAACTTCATAAATTGAATGTAAAAAAAATGAAATATTTACTAAAACCTTCTTTTATTATTGACTAGCTTCTGCCGGCGGCTTCTGCCGTGTTCCCTGGAGTAGTAGCGTATTTTTTCAAATTTCAATTCGATCCCTTCAGCCGTTTTGATGTGACTGAGTGATAAACACACACAAACTCATATATTTACATTTATAATATCGGTTCAAGCTAATTTCAAGTAACGGCCCTATAGTTACAGCGTTCGGAGTCGCGGAGAACCTAACGAGTTACCGGGGCTCCGGCTCGACGTGCAAGAGTAGGAACGGGGTGGTTTTTAGTCAGAAAGAGTCTGACCTCCCGCCTCACCCAGGCGGGAGCAGCCATTCGATGATTATCTCCCATAAAAAAATACATATGTACCTATCTATAGAATATATATATATATATATTGACTTTTAGTATAGAATCTAGATTGTGTTTGGGTGCATTGTAATGACCTCATATAGGTACCACCTGAGACTCCTAAACTTGTAACATAACTTGTTTGTTAAATTATTAAAAGATGATTTTACGTTACTTAAGAAAACCTTTCTCCACACTATCCGGGAATATAACTTGATAACATTAAATATCGTATGACGTATGTTTATTGCACATCGACAACTTACTAAAGAAAATAAAACCCTTACGATTTTATTAAGTACCCATTTACTATCAGAAGTGGTTCTAGCTGAGTACTTCAATCACTGTTTTTTTCTTAAATTATTGTTAGTTTTTTTTTTGAACGTTGCCCCACGCTTGGATTTTCTCCTGTGTCGTGGGTGCGTTTACAAACATACAAATTCACATACACATAATAACACCCAGACCCGGAACAACAATTTGTGGATCACACAAAGTGTTGTTCCGTGCAGGAATCGAACCTGCGACACGTTGCACGGCAGCCGGTCGCCCAGCCACCGCACCAACCGTGCAGTCTTCTAATTCTGCTTTATATACATACTAGCGACCCGCCCCGGCTTCGCACGGGTGCAATATGCATGTATTATACATACAAACCTTCCTTAAGAATCACTCTATCTATTAAAAAAAACCGCATCAAAATCCGTTGCGTAGTTTTAAAGATCTAAGCATACATACGGACATACAGCGAAAGCGACTTTGTTTTATACTATGTATTGATTTTGCTACTATGATTGATACAATTATGATACACACGGCTACACATCGAGCTTTACATAACCAGTATAAACTGAACGTTAAATGTGCGGAAAGATGATGCGACGCGACACCAGGATAAACTGGTTTTGTATAGATTGATGTGTGGCCGTGTGTACCTATAACATATTTTTATAACTGACTGCCTCGTTGGCCGAATGCCGGGAAAGGGGCCTCGGGTTCGATTCCCTGGCAAAATATTATTGGGTTTTAAAAAAAAATCTCAGAAGTAGCACGGTGCAATAGGCTCACCTATTATATGGGGCTTATAACATAAAAAGTGAAAAGTGGGTGTTACATTACATTAAGTGCTTTAACTCGTTGAGTACCGTCATAATAGACACAATAAAAGAACAATAGGTTGCGGTCACCGGTGTCCTCGCAGTGTTTGACAGTTTAATGTGCACCTCTGTCTACCCCTTCAGGGATAAAACGCGTAGTGCTATGTTTATGTTATATCATTTTTATAAAAATAACTACTTTACTTAACATAAAAAACTAATTCATTGGTATAGATTAAATATTGTATCTATTCAATTACTAAGACTGGACAGTTAACAAACTGATTTTTATTGTATTTATTCCAACCGTATTCAAAACTTATTGAATCAGAAAATTATTATGACCGGTACCTACAGACTTAGATACCTATATGGATTAAATAAAAATAATGTTTACTGTTTGCTATGTTCGTGGCATTGTATTGAATCATTATGATAAACGATGTACTTAGGTATCTGCGTCAATGTCGGTGGTCTCATCAGTCACTGCATAACTGGTTTTGTCATAATTACTTTTGTAGTTATGCATATAACTATGACCTAGGTTCTAAGTCATTTGTTATTCTTTTATTTTTGTTATAATTGGTTTAGTCATTTTAAAGTTTAAAGGGAATGAGCTAATTTATTTGTTGCTAATTTCTAGGTATCAGTGTGTATAATTTAATGTTGCTAATCATTATATTGTGTAGGTTATGTTGTATTATGTTATACGTAATGTGTTAGAAACATAATTATTACAATTCCACCTACTGCTTTGATGTCTCAAGTAATATATACATGCATAACCTCACGCCTGTCGCCTGTCTTCCATGAGATAAACATAGACTATGGAACTCTAATTGCTACGATTCTTACATAATAAAATTCTTAAAGTAATAATAATGAATTAATCATTATTGTAGCAATTCTTATCTTTTATTTCATATCTTTTATAGATCCGCTATGACGGAATGTTCAACTGGTTTCGTGACAAAAATATTTTAAACGTATTTCTATTTTGATTGTGTAACGAGAAACAGCCAAGTGTGAACATAAACTGACATTAAAACTTTCGATTTATTTCTTGTATGACAACGAACAGTAATGTTCCCTTCGAGTATACATCGCAAGCTATAAAAATAACATCCGAGGAACTAGTTGATTGTTGAAAAACAAAATGCTACGTTCTATTTGAGCCGACAACTGTACGCGGGGTAAATTGAAACGCGGGTTGAGGGGACAAGAATTGGCAAGTTTGAGCACCACGCTGAACCATTCCGGGGATTTGTCGGACCCTCGTAAAATGCTCTTCGGAAACGGGCGGAGTTCCCGGAGGTTTATCTTATTTTGAAGAGCCTCCGCTCGGAAAGATGACGCGGCGTTTACGAGAACGCTCCGTGATCGTTCGA